GACCAGCATGGCTCAGAGCAAATTAATACTTTCATAACTTTCTCCAAAAGTTTTTTGCATGTTTTCATTTGAAAATAAGAAAAATGTTAAGAGCTGTAGGTCTTAATTAAGACCAAAAACAACAACCAGAAAATTTACAGTTCAAGCTTATATCTGCTTACAACCCGCACCAGTGTTCCGTAAAGTTATTTGGTGTTTTAAAACAAGATAATAGTGATTTCCTTTGCCACCAACTTCTTGGCAGTTTTTCCATGTTAAGAAGATTAAGTTATAAAATAAAAAGGGAAGTACGAATTCCTATGAGTGTGAGCGAGAAGGGTCTCTCAGGACTCCCCTAGCCCACACACTGTCGGCTTTAGCTGCCACATCCTGCACCAGAATCAAAGAGCAACAGGCTGCAGCTATCAGAAAAACACTTTGCACAATTTTTAGTTGCTGTTACGTTCAGACCCTGTGTTCACATTTCCATAAGCATATGTGGGGACTAGTAAAAGTGGTTTTTGTTCCTATTTTGCTATAACAGAAGTCATTGCACGGTACTGTTAAAAGACCTTTAAGCATTGTCAGAAACTGAAAAAAAAAAACCCACACACCACAACACCCACCCCAAATCTCACTTACAAGAAGGAGAGAACATGCTTCTTGGACATTGTAGGAATTGTCTTTAAATCGGCTTGATGTCACAAATCAGAGGCCACTGTCAGAAGGTTACATTCAAGTACAACATCCATACTCTGAACATTTTACCCTGGTACAGCTCTGGGCATTCAGAGCAGAGGTTTCCCCCCGACCCTATGGCTTGGAGGTTTAATGGGTCCAGCAAACGCCGCTCTGCATGAGCAGCTCAAAGCTCTGTGAATGATTCCTTCAGCCTCCCACTTCCCATGTAATTGCCCAGTCAATTTTCCTGAACATGCACATTATGCAGACATTTCTTTAATCCTCTGGTAACTCCCTAGCTTATAGTAACTTTTAACATGAGATTCAAGCTCCGTGACTACTTTAAATATCAAACATCCAGAAGGGTCCGTTTACATACATTCAGATTATCCAAATCATTTCTTACCTGAGCAGGATCCAGGAGGATCACATCACAGCTTTTAGATAGATGTTTGTGAAGAAACGTTTTCCCCAAAAAGCGGTTGTTCAACCCCTGGGATTCAAGATCAACAAGAGTTAACCTGCCCCAGAAAAGGCCAACTTCCCATCTATAATGGGCAGGAGATCCTTAGCTGCCAAGTGCTCGAGGGAGCTTGTGCAGATCGTATCTGAACCAGACAATACTAATGTTTTCATAACTATAGCTCTTTAATCCACGAAGCTGACAGACCCAAACACCAGTGCACCTGCAGAGCTCTAGGATTCAGATGCCATGCCCTTCTTTAGGAACGTGACAAGCAGAGGCCTGTGTTTGTGCTGCTTTAAGAAACACCAAAGATAGCATTAATAAAAACAAGCCTTACTCAAGCTCACTAAGAGTAACCTCACCAAGGTCTAAAGCATGAAAGTATTTAAGGGCTTAAAATTGGATTCCTGCAAATAAGAGCAACAGCATTTTATAAGAAAATGCAGTTGCTTCATCATGTTTGAGGCCTCATTTTGCAACAATCCCGTTTTTTCATTTAGTAAAGTGCAGTTCTAATGGAGGAATCCTGTTTCACCACGCTCCTGCTTTTTATACTGTATTCCAGATGACTTGACTGTATTGCAGACATTAATATCTCAAATGCCTTTTTCAATTATACTGGCCTATGTTGGCACCAATCTAGTTAAGGTAGCATCAAAAATCTCCAGTATAAAACACGTTTACAGGTTTATAACTTGGCTCTAAAAATCCTGCTCCAAGAGACAGTGGGAGACAGGAAGACTCAGATGAGTGTGTTATATTATATGTCCTATGTGCTACACTTGCTCACAATAGTACATGAAAGGAAGGGATTAGCTTTAACTCTGAATTACCATGTGTCACAAACCACCTAAAAATGACACTTTTAATTTCCCCATTAATATAATCAAAGTAATGTTTTGCAAGTGTTTCAGCTAATTAAGAGCTTAATTTGCAATTTTATACTTTAGTTTAAAAAGGCTTCAGCATAATATAGGAATTGGAGTATGTCATGCCTATTGATCACATTTATACACAAATTAACACACACACACAGCCCTGCCTTAGAAGTCAAGTGCAGCTCTTCTTCAAAAGAGTCAACACATAGGAGACGGGATGTTACAGGCTGCTAGAAACACAATGTGGCCATTCAAAGAAAGGCTTAAATGAAGATCAAGGCTGAATAAACTAACTGCAAGCATTTGGCTTTTTCTAAAGGATAAACTCACAGGAAACAAGCTAGAGTAAAACGAGCTTTACAGCTTACTTAAAAATCCTATTCTTGAAAGCAACTTGTATTCTGGCCATCGGTATTGTGTTTCCTGTAGCCCACATGCAAACACAATACAACTCTTCCACTGCAGCACAGCAACGTTAAATATAAAAACCTGCCATTAAAGGGCGGGGGGTAATGGCATTAGTGTGGGCGACCCATGCTCAGGTAGTGTTCAACTATTATCTCCAGTTTAAGTAGGCTGAAAATACGCAAATCCAGCCCGCACTGTTTTTAGATAAAATTGTCAGTTTTATGGATATTTATAGTATGTGTCCGCTCTTGCAGAACTCCATCTTCCTCCAGCTCATTTGTAATATAAACTGCTTTTAGCCCACATTAATACAATGTGTTACTGAGATACTTCTCACATTCCGCATAAACCAGGCGGCGGATCAATACTCAGCTACACTGAGGAAAAAAATCATTACTTTAGGTTTCTGTTAAACAGTCACGCAGATCCGAGGAGGGATAAACTCAGTGCACTATTCCATCTGGATGCATATTCACAAAGGAGGGAAAAACTCAGTGCACAGACACTATTCCATCTGGATGCATATTCACATTACTGCTTTTATTTAAGAGTCTTTCTTTCCAATATATCATTTGAGGAATTTTACAGGTAAGACCTTTGGATGCCCTTCACCAATCTGACCTCTGGATTTTTTTTTTTTTTTTAAAGCATCTCTACTTCTCACAAGAGCTCTTTCTTCTGAGCAGGTTTCCACTCTCACATATCAACTCCCTTATCCACACACTTCCTGTGGCGAAATCACAGCACTGAAATTAGAATAGCAAAGCTATTTCCATGACAGCATCTGCTGATGAGACAAGCTCAGGTTTATACCCTTACCTTGAATCAAGGAGGAGTAGGGACATTAAAGATAAAGACTTTAGAACCGATAACAGTAAACTAAAACCAAAAAGAAAACAGACACACAGAAAAATGTACAAATAAAAACTTGCTCCACTTGTTTTGAGTTTGCCTAAAGTGAAAGTCTCTCTGTGAAAGGCAGCGAGAGTTGTTGCTTTTGTCCCCCCTCTGTATTTTTCAGAGGCAAAATGCAAACATCTCACCTGTGTCACAGCACTGGCAGTGCAATGTAATAAGAACAGATGCAGGTCTGTCTGCCTCAGAGGTAAAAGGGAACAGAAAAAACACACAATCCTTTCCCTTTTGTTCTCTCAGCCCACCACATAAGAAAAGGAAACTGGTGCCATGCCCCATATGTCAACAAACTTGAGCTCTGTCAGACATTAATTGTGGAGTCAAGATCCCTCTGAGACACCTTGCCTCCAGCTCAGCAAAGCTTAAATCAAGAAAACATCAGCTTCTACCTCCCAACTGACCTTCACTCGCACAGCCTGCGCGAGGGAGAGAGACGGTCTCTCGGAGAGAAGCTCCAGACCACCCTGAGCCTTTGCAGCCCATCACTCACACACAGCAATGGCTTGCAGATGGAATAGAAGGATCAATCCCCAGCAGCTTACAAGCATTCGATTTCTTCTCTATTTCACAGGAATCAAGGCAAGCTGACAGCAGGAAGCAACTTGCACAAACAAGTTGCCACTTACTACCTGTAGGATATGGAGACAATTCTGGGGAGAATCAAATCCATCCTGTTAGCAACTCCAGTGAAAGGCAGATGTTTTGAGTGGTTTTGCTTTTTGTTTTTGGGGGGTTTTTCTGCAGTTGTTTTTAATTCTCTCCTACTCAACCCAGGTGATGTGCATTTTTGTTTCTGTCGGGCTCACAGTACTATATATCCTTTCATGAGCACGTTTCATCATTTTCACAACTCTAGTTGCCACGACAACAGGATGCAGCTTATCCGTGCTGTTTCCAGCTTCCGTTGCCATAACACCACAATCATTCAGGCTTTCCACAAAACCAGCAACTTTAAGCTATACCTTCTCAAGGACGCCGGACTGTCTCACGAAGATACATGTACGATGAAGAGATTTCTATAAGGCAAATTGTAAATTAAGCTTTTTTTTTTTCCTGAAGGGAGGATTTTTCACTCTCTGAAGTGAAAAGCTGACAGCAATTGCTGGAGGCAGGCTGCTGAGACATCTAAAGCCTGGCCTTTAATAACAGCCAGAGCAATATCGCACGAGGCCACTTCCGAGTGGGGAGTCCCCGCAGTGTCAGATCGTGTCAGGCTGCACAATTGCGATGTGATGGGAGCAAGTGTCCGTGCTGGTTTCGCCCAGTCAGATGTGAATTCGACTCTAGATGCAATCCTCGTGTGTTTTAACCCATTGGCCTCCCCGTTATTACCAGCAACAACCACCGCCATGCAGCTTTACGTTTGAAGGCCCATTTTAATTCTGTAATTTGAGGTCTTGTTGCAGATTTCTTTCAGACTCTGACCTTTTTCTCTCTCAGGTGACTGCATTTTGAACTTGTATTTACAGTGAGTGCACATTCATAAGACTTGTGAGAAAATGTTGCACAAACACAGCATGCAGAAACACAAAACAGTGATGGCTATGGAGGGTATCAGCTAACATGGCACCGTAACTTCATTACACCCTCATTTATGTACTTCACTAATGAGACAAGCACAGGTGTCCAACACAGTCCCTCACATGAGATGAATAACAATAATACAGTCCAACCTGCTTTAGCCATGCTTGGTATCCAGAAGATATAAGTTGGAATCCATCTTTTGGCATGTGTATTCGGGGCTAGGAGAGAATAGACATAAAGAGAGACCTCCTTTTACACTGGGACCTAGCTAACCTACGTCTAAAGTTTGGATTATCTTAAACAATTCAGATGTCTTAAGCCATATATGCAGGTTCGGCCCCCAAATAAATTCTTGATTAATTACTGCTCTAATATCAGTTGCTTTAAGAACACTTTGCTCATAAAACCATTTTTACATTTTCCACCATTGTACCTTTCAACTCTGTATACAGATATTTCTTTAAAATTCTCACATAAATGCACGTGCATAAGCACTGCCCCTGTGGCAGACGCAGCAGCACAAACCAATGGTCATTAATACCTTTGCCAGTATGTAAAGCTAAATGGTGTCAAAGCAGCAGCAGTCAAGCTATGAGAGTGTTTTCACAGGCACTATCCCCAACATGGCTGCACCAGGCACTGGGCAATGTGTAAAGATTAAGGAAAATCCCCGAAGAGGTTCAGCCTCAACATGGGGGTAATCGGAAACGACGCTCACGCACTGTCATAAATTACACCTCAAAGTGATAGACAAATACAATCTCCACCCATTTGTTTCCCTCCCTCCCTCAGCAGGTTGAGGAAAAGGCAAGACATTCAATTGTACTGGCATAGCAAGACCTAACTTACAGCTAGGAGGAGAGGAAAAAAAAAAAAAAGCAACATTTCATTTCTGTTACCTGTTACATCCATTTGCAGCTCAAAGGTATTTTCACAATCATGTGGATTCAACTGTGCACCTCTTCATCTCCCACAAAACGAGAAATAAAAGTCACAGCTAAGAAACAGGACCTGTCAGGACACCCTCAGGCCCAACATCCAGAGTCCTTTCTTAAGGCAGGCAAATACTTTGCAATCCCTTCATTAATTCACAGTATTCCCCTCCCAGGCAGCAGGTGCAGATCCCCACCACTCCCGTTGGAAAGCTGGAAACCTCTAAAATTTCCAGACTAAATACGTTCCAGGTGAGTTTATTCCCATTTGCTCTTGTGTCAACACAATATTTAGTTTGTACAAACTGCGCCTACCCTGGTACTTGGAACATAGCATAAAATCATAGAATCAGTGATAAAGCCTCAGTGGGAGCAAGCTGCAGACCCCACTCAAGAAACTAAGCAGGTTACAGCTGCATCAAGTTCTCTCCTTGGTTGGTTACTACACACCTTCCACAAGCCAAAATGCAAGATGTGTTTAGAATACAACTGAACAGAAAATTGTGTCGGCACTGAATGCATAACTTTCACAGCTATGCAGAGGTGCAGAGGTAGTCGAGCCTTATTTTTATTTCAAATTCCAAGCACTACAACATACTAAAGTCTGGCCTCTAAAAAGTATCCCTTCGAGTATTTCATAATAGACTTAGAACATCAGCTATTTTTGCTCTTCTATGGTTTAAACTGAAATCCTCCTAAATCTTTCAAAGCAGATGCAAGATTACGCCCTGGTGTCCTGGCCAGTAACCCCGTTAAATATGAATTTTAATAATCACCATCGGACTGATAAAGTCAAGTGTATCTGGTTACTGCTTTCACCTGCGGAGCGTGGACTTGAGATGCTTAACACATTAACGAACTATGTTTTAGGGGACTCATTATGCTACTAGAAGTATCACGCTCCAAGACCTAATCCTTAGTTCAGCACTAACTTCATGGGTGGTTAGTCTCTCTACTACTGTAAAACGAGGACAACACTTATTTAAGCCACCTCAAAGGACCACTGAGAGGAATCACAGACATTTCTACACATTTTGAAAAGGGAAGAATGCACATGCAGTGCTGCCTATCTAGCAAGAAGTCTGTAGAAACCTGTATTTTACATTTGATTCAAGCATTTCTGTTGC